ATATACTGCCGAAATTTTCCCAAAGGAACTTACTTTAAATAAATCAAATATAAACGGCAATAACTGTCCTTTCCTAGATTTAGATATTACAGTTTTACACGGGAAACTCTACACTAAAATTTACGACAAAAGGCACGATTTTTCGTTCACTATTGTTAATTTTCCATTTTTGGACGATGATGTTCCTTTGCCACCATCTTACGGTGTTTATATATCACAACTCGTTCGCTATTCCCGTGTCTGTTGTGGATTTCAATGAACGTAATCTATGTATTACTGGTAAATTATTATGTCGGGGTTTCGTCGTTACCACAAATTACTTCAAACCTTTACCAAATTCTTCCATAGATATAAAGATTTGGTTTTGAAGTTTGGTTGACCTGTAGAAAACGGGATAGCACATCCTCATTTTTACGGAGATGTTGTTTACCGAACCCGGAAATTAAGAAACGATCCGGGTAAACTTATCGATCCTTTAAATAAACTTATTCTAAAAGGTTACCAGTTCAACACTGTAATTAGATCTTTGAATATTGTTTTTATTGGTATTAATATTGATTTTGTTATCAGTAAATTAAAATCATACTAAATATTATTTTTATATACATATGCACATTCATGGCTCTACCTGTATCTTGGCATTGCACAAGGTCGTGTTTTTCTCAGATTGTTTATGATGTCTTTACACTAAATCCATTGGATGTTGGATGTGTACTGATTGATATATTAGTCTTAGATTCATGATTTTTGTCGAGCCTGTGACTTTTGTCGCAAAAGCGAGACATAGCGATCCTACATTCCGTCGTCGGCGTCCGCGTAGTCGTCGTCGGCGGCGTCCACAAATATTCACTCTGTGGTTAAAGTTTTTGAAATTTTAATAACTTTCTTAAACTATCCTGGATTTCTACCAAACTTGGACAGAAGCTTGTTTATGATCATAAGATAGTATCCAGAAGTAAATTTTGTAAAAAAAAATCCTGTTTATCCGTATTTTACTTATAAATGGACTTAGTTTTTCTTCCAGTTAACATTACATATAGTCTGCAGTTAAAGTTTTTAAAACATTTATTAGATTCATAAACCATCCTGGATTTTTACCAAACTTGGATAGAAGCTTCTCACAATCAAAAGATAGTATCTAGAGGAAAATTTTTAATAATTTTGTCCCCATTTTTGTTGAGCAAAAGAAGGCGAGACACTGGGTTCCGCGGAACCCTTACGAATTTTTATATTAGTTGTTATGGGCTTTGAACTAGCTGTCAGTAACTTCGAGTACTCTCAGATGTGTACTTAGTGGTTTTTTTGTTGTTGTGGGGATGTAAGTTCCCATCCACGTCCACTCTGTGTTTTTGTTAGATGTATTTCTTTTTGTATCCATCTGATGAGCTAAGCCTTTTTCAACTGATTCTATAGTTTGGTCTTATGTTGTACTGTTATACCACTGTCCAATGTCAGGGGAGGGTTGGCGCCTTCAAACGAGTTTAATCCAGCCACATTCTGTATGTGCCTGTCCCAAGTCAGGAGCCTGTAATTCATTGGTTGTCGTTTGCTGCTGTGTAACATATTTGTTTTTCGTTCATAATTTTATTCCTAAATTAGGCCGTCAGTTTTCTCGTTTGAATTGTTTTACATTTGTCATTTCGGGGCCTTTTATAGCTGACTATGCGGTATAGGCTTTGCTCATTGTTGAAGGCCGTACGGTGACCTATAGTTGTTAATTTCTGTGTCATTTGGTCTCTTGTGGAGAGTTGTCTCATTGGCAATCATACCACATCTTCTTTTTATATTAGCACGACAACGCGTGCAATTTCTTGTTTTGTTTAAAGTGAACGATGGTCACATAGACCAAGATGATGGAAGGTCAAGGTGAGGTCAAGGGTTTCGGTGAAAAACCCCTGTCAACCCAATTGGACTTTTAGTGCTAACTCTGGGCTTACAGCAAGCTTTTCTTTAGACTATATATTTTACCACTAGAAGGAAAGAATGGCTCATAATGATTTTCTAAATAAGAGGTTAGAAGTCAGTCAATCTTTTTGAACATAAACCGTTTATCAAATTTGGTAAACGTACTCGCCTTAGCAAAAGGAATCCTCTTCCATTATTTAAGGTTCAAAAACAAAGACAAGATAAGACTAAGTCTTCAAATAAACCTTAACACGATACACACATTCATTAGGCCAATCTGCATCTAAATTTATATTCGATATCACTGTGAGGAGAAGATGATATCCAGTTATTTCCGACATCAATATTCGAGGCCCCTAGTGAACTCAATAAGAATTAACGACATTATGAGTCTTTTGATACCTGTTATACATACTAACAATATCGAAGTATATTACAGCAAGGGTTATGCATGTAGGTTGAAAAGAAAATAACAATTTTCTACACAGGAAAAAGCAATTTAAACTATGCGAGCTTGCAAGGGCACGCGGTGCTCTTTTTGACGAAGCATTTGTATTGTTATCAATCAATTGAAACAGTCTATCCGTTTACATTTTTGCTTTTATAGTACAGTTTATTCAAGTGGACGCTTATGTTATTAAGGAAATTCATTGATTACTAATATATACGATCATTTGTTTCAACATATCAAAAATACATTTACATCCGTTTTTTTGAAATTGGGATTAACTTTGTATAGATAAGCTGTGTCGGTAAAGATGACCATGTACTAAATGGAATGATCGGTCACCATACCTCATGTTGATTTCATGTGTGTTAAATAAACGTTAAGTACAAAGGAAAACACTTTGTAAATATTTATCTATTATTTACAATACTAATATACTTAAGTTACCTGGATAGGAAATGTTGTCACCTTACATGTACATGTATTCAGGTAAGATTTGAACTTTTATTCAGACGAGCAAGATTTTCAAATAGCACTGCAAAATTAAATTGGAATAAAAAGTGAGAGTTTTCAAACAAAACAGTAATACCTATTATGTTTTTATTTTATAAGAGTTTAGGAATTTTACATGCGAGTTATGTTTAATTGTTTAGTGTTTTGAATCATGAATGGGTACGTGTCTTTTCATTTCTTTCGACTTCCCTATCTCCCCAACCGCCTTTTCAAACCCCCGTTTATCGGTTTGTTGTTAATCCCGAATTTTTCTACCGTTATACGCTTTTATTCCATATAAGCTCATCCGACCAAAAACAGGCCTTGCGAGTTATCGTCAATTTTGGGGTTTGTCGTTGTCAGCCGTTTTTGTTATGCAGCCTTTGTTCTAAAACCACTTTAGAAATTTCTACCAAACATGGCCTGAATGATCCTCAGGATACCTAGTACATGTATAAATGTATGATCTAAGTCTCTGCCAACAAACCAAAGTCGCATATAATTTATATTTACTTCTGAAACTATTTTTCTAATGTAAACTAAACTGGACATGAATGATCCTTGATTTTGTAAGTTTTATTTTGTGATTTTATTCCGTTGTTTAAAAACCAACATGACCGCCATCACTGAAATAGAACATACAGTTTAAATGCAAGTAATTGTTTGACATCTTGAAAACTGTAGTGGATATGATGAAATATGACTTGGGTATAACTGCTTGGATCTTAAGATGCTTAATATCCATTTAGGATTTTTAAGATCTTTTTGTAAACAATAATTGATATGGATTCTGAAAATCTAAACCTCAAAATTGACGAACAAGCAATTTGAGAAATAAATATTATTTCGTTGGTGGTTGATATTGTAATAATTAACCTTTCTAATACAGCAATGGTTGTAATAATCATTTTGATTGGATAACGCAAAAAAGAAATATTGGCGAGCCATGATTGATTATCCGCAATTACAGTCCTATGACTGATTTTAAATTATGATTTAGCGGCGTATTTCTTTTGTTGCAATAAAATGAAGTTGACAGTATTTTATTTTTACGTAAATAAATAATGTGACCCTTGCACTGAATACAATAAAAGTGTATTGGTCTTGCCCCGGATTTCGCTTAAATGGAATCCAAAGCTGTAAATAAACTAAATTATTTTATTTCCAGAAAACAAAATTGATCCTCCGAAAAAAATCAAAATGTTATTTTGCTAGGTGATTTGTTCAGGTTCATGGGAGCCTCTTGTTCCATTTACTTACAACATGAATGTTATACTTGTCGATTCATACAATATGGCCTCTATGTTGTATTAAATGAAAACAACACTTTATAAATTAATACGTCCGACGCGCTTTTCTGGATTTATCTTCATTCGGAACGCTCAAAGCCGGATATTTGAAAGCCAGTGGTGTTTAAGAAACAGTTGAAGAGCTACAATGTATATGACCAAAAAGAACCTAAACATAATACCAAAAACCACCTAAGGTCAGCTTTGCCTGAGGGAGTTGAAACTTTAGTTTGTTAATAATTTCTTAATTTATAAAGTTGTGAACAGACAGTTTATGAAAAGTTTGTTATAAATCTCGTCATTACCGAAGTATTGACTACTGAGCTGATGATACCCTTGATGATCGTAAGGGAATATCAGGGCTTAAGCCTTTACAACAAGAGTGTGCATGTTGTTATAGAGAGTTCGTGCTTCTATGTTATGTAGGAAAGGGATCTTATATATATATGCCGTGAAGAACCAAATTAACCATATGCCGCATAATACACAGGTCTTAATTTTTCTGCAAACAATTTAACCCTAATGGCGATCGATTAATTCCCCTTTAATTGCACTACCATATATTGATATAGTAAATACACCACTGATATGAATATGTATTTAATTGGGAGTCTCTGGAGATCATATTCGGTTTAATCAAAATTATGAAAAGATATCATCGATAAAAGATACTCTGAATCTGGTAAAAGTTATTTGTGAACTTTCGTTTTGAACCGTAAAGTTGTATTGAAATTAGACCACTGTCACATCTGTTGTGTATTTGCTTTTTTCTTTTAAGTATTCAAAAAGTTAATGAATATATCTAATAGAAAAATTAAGGGTTATTTGCTTGTTCTGGTTTATAAATATTAATTTATCTCTTTCAGCAACTACATAAAGAACGCCATAATTAAAACACGCAGTTGATACAGCTCGTTCAGTCAGTAAAGGTCGGTATGAAGCAATCACCGTTTCTACAAAATATGAGAAATCATTAATGAGTGTAAATCCTATCACAGATTCGATTATTTTGAGCATAAGTTTACAAACACAAAATGTTGGAAATATAGATACAAGTGTAAACGTGGAGCCAATATATTTTATCATGACGGAGTGATTAGCAGCGAATGGTTGGGTGAGAATATAATTTCTGAAAGACGTAAGACAATTTATTGGTATTTTTAGATATTTTAAAAGAATAGTGCACTAGCGTTTTAAATAATCAAACAGTTTTAGATTTTAAAGCCGAAGGTTTATACATACAATTCAGATTTTCAATGGCAAATGTATGGAATAAAACCACCGCAAGTAAAATTCTTTCACCGATTTTTCCATACGAAGAAATTGGAAATTCAACATCATTAGGAAATTTATCACGAAAGCATTTTTCCCTTCTGGAAACAGCTATTTTCGGCACATGGATATCTATTTCAATGGTGTTTGCTATTTTTGGCAATCTCATGGTCATAGCAGTTGTTATACGCCATCGAGGCATGCGGACTAGAACTAACATGTTTTTAGTGAATTTAGCCATTGCAGATTTTTTAGTTGGAGTTTTGTTAGCACCGTTTTCTCTGACAACATTGATAGCGAAGGATTGGATTTTTGGTGATATTCTATGCTTTATAAATAGTTTTTGCAATGCAGCATTTCTTATAACATCTATACAAACCTTAATGTATATAAGTATACACAAGTATTTATCTATCACTCGCCCGCTAACCCAAATAACAAAATGTAAAATTTTAATTATGATTGGTGCTGCATGGGGATGGGCTATTGTATGTGCATCACTCACAACGTTCATTCTGAGTACATCAAAATATAAAGAAGGAACGATGCAATGTGGACCTAAATATCCGACATATTCTACAAAATCACTTACTTTCCATTTCATAATTCAAGCATCTAATATATTTCTTCCGCTTTTTCTGATGATTGGGTGCTATGTCCGCATGTTTGCAGAGATAAAGCAGCATATGCAGAGATTAGATGAGAATACAGCACTAGACCGCAATATGATTTTTAGTCAACAGAGGAGAGTAACCATTACATTATTAATTGTCCTTTCCTGCTTTGTATTATGTTGGATACCGTACTGTGTTTACTCTAACTACGCAGCATTCGTACGAGACAAGTCAACAATACCAAGATATGCCAATGCTATTGTAAGTAAAGTTATTTTATCTACATTTCTTTATATGAAAAACTCGAATTCTTGTAAAATGAAAGTATCTATTGATTCATACTTTACGTTTGTATTGTTTTAATATGCGTTATTTATAGAAAACAATAAGTTACATTTGTTTGTAATGTTCTTCCCTTTTTATCTCCAATCATCAATTTGTCTTGTTAGCACCCCAACGAGCTGTGATTTGATTTTTCTTGAACTTTAAGTATTTTCTGCTTTGTTTTGGTTTTTTTTTTATAGGAAATTCGTATTTCTAATTGGGTGGGTTGTGCACTGTATCTTAAATTCCCATGCATAATATCATTTCAATTGAACAGCACAATTTCATCGTCAATTCTGTCATGTTATCACTTTTGAAGGATGTTAAAGCGTCCGTCACTGGTGAAACAGCAAAACACATACATAATACCGGTATTTATGGATATCAACCGAAAAAAGTCTAAGTTAGGCATCAAATTATTAGTTATAATAAAAACTTTAAAAACCAGATTTAACTACTGCATCACACAGGAAAGACAAATACGTCTAGAGGTCAACATACCATCATAAACAATAGATTGTTGACTCTACCATATATCAAGCTCTAAATCGCCCCGAGTAGAACAAAGCTGTGAATAACAAAGATCTGCCATTAACACGAAGAACCGATGGTACATAAAAGAACTTACTAGAAAAATCATTACAAGAAAAACAGTTAACTTTATAATAACTAATAACGATATAATAGAGAACAAAAGCTTAAGTACAAACGAAACAATAACACAAAATATCGCATCACAGAATGCTCGCAAATGAAAGCATACTAATATGAAATCAATCCGTAATTCACTGTTATATTGTTGGCTGCACTTGGAGATAGATATGATACAGCATCGTATGCAATGACATAATATTTATGTATGATAGTCCATAAAACGCTGGGTGAAAAATACCACGTTTTATTATATTTCTACGAATGGAATCATAAAACGATAATCTATCTCCATCTTTATTTGAAAAAGTAAGTTTTGAACAATTTATGAGATCTTTATTTGCTGCAAAAGGAGGTTTTGGTAAGAAAATGTGACGTTCATTGAACTGTGAGATGTTGAGGTTAACTAGAGCATGTCCCCCGTCTTTTGCAATTAAATTCTCAAATGTGTAACCACTAAGCAAGCCTAGCGTTTTGTTATATCTCAAATTGAGAAAGAACACATTTCACTGGGTGTACAATTCTAAACATACAACGTTTTAAAGTTTCCCATATTGAATTTTCCATTTTTATGTACACCGTGTAATAACATTCAAGCATCACTTGCATATGGTGTGTATTTCTGCCAGTTTATACGATAATCCAGTTCTTGAATTTCTTTCAGGATCTCCTTGATCAAGTTGATAATCATAGTGCAAATTGGGTTGCCCTTTTAAATGAAAGCTATTCAACCGAGGGTTTTTAACGCTGAAGTTGAAGTCATCTTTTCGGTAGTTCATGATTTGGTGATCGACAGTAAGGGAATATCTCTGTCAGATTACCGCAATTTGCCAATTGAACAATAACACCTTAATTCCACAAGAAATGATATTCATATCTCCTAAATATTCTACTATATCTCTTTCCAAGATTCTTGCAACCATGCTCTGATGGAAAACTTTCATATATATCGTATTGCGACGAGTTGTGCCCTTCCAGTAATGTCAAACAGTTGTGAATACTTATAAATTCAAAAGATACGCTGTATTGTTTTCTTTAATTAGTCACTAAAATAATAATATATAAAAACTTTTCTGTCCTCTACAATGCTTGCCATTCAAAATTGGAAGGTCGTTAGAATCATGAACATAGACACAAGTATTTTTATACTAGGTCTAGAAAAATGCTACTTTGTTACAAAGAAATACTGATTCCAATAACAGATACAACAACACAGAAATTTTGATAAATCTTAATTGACAACATAGGTCTATTTTTATTTTGGCGGGATTGAATTTTTACAATCATGTTTAAACTAGGCACTATATTATGTATACCTGTCCCATGCCAAGAGCCCGTAGTCCAATGCTAGTCATTGAAACCCGTATCTGTATATATTTTTTTCGTATGCATGTACCACTATAAGCTTAAATCATGCCGTTAGTTTTCTCTTTTGAATTGTTCCACATTTTGTTATTCTGAAGACATTCATACTGACTATATGGTATTGGCTTTGCTTATTGTTGAAAGTCGCGCGGGAACCTGTAGTTGTTATTATGTTTCTCCTTTATTAGATAGTTGTCTCATTGTCAATCATACGTTTTATGATTTTGAAAGTGACTTTTAGACGCAATGGGTCGGGTGTATTTTATTGTTTATGTAATATATTTGTATTTTGTTAAACTGTCACTATAATAAAAATTTACTTACTTACTTACTGCTTATTGGTATCTTACTGAACTTAAGATCTACCCGGCGAGGAGAAGTGACTGAAATAATCAGGGTAGCCATTGTAAATTTGGTAATCATTAAAATGTATTGGGTTTCCCTACTGATCACTTTTAACATTATAACCAGTTTTTCCATGTTAATTATGTTAATTGCTTGACACTTATTACTGGACCTGACCATTGACCCCACCATATCTAGCATTTATGTGATTCGATTGTTACAACTCCAACTTTTTTCTATTTAACATTTTTTTATTCAGTCAACACCGTTTTTTATTTTTACATATATCACCATAATTTTTCATCAACGTATAACATGACGGTTGCAACCAGTGTAGCAGGAACTATTTACTTTGAGGGAGCACATAAGTTCCCCCGATTTTTGTTTTATTCATATTGTTCAAAGTAGGATTTTTAGACTTGTTTTTCTTTTTATTATTTATTTTAGCCATAGTGTTGTCTGTGTTTCTTAACTTGCTGTTATTGATTGCCCGTTTAGTGTCTTCTTCTATTTAATTACACATTGTATTAACAACATTGTATTAACAAAATGTTTGATAAATCATCAAAACCCCTCCCAAATGGATACATTACATGATTGCAGTTATATAAGTTTTATCTGTTATACTAGTTGACTTTAATTGGTTTCATTTTTCTACCGTTGTTTGTAAAGAATTACATGTAATTTCTTCATAAATATTTCATTGTAAAACAATTTAGATGTGTAAGACAACACTAAATTATCTATGCCGCATCTATTGATTTGCATAGTAAATTGGTTTAAAATCAACTAAGGGCTGTGGTACAAAATGATTGGCTTTATTTGTTAGGTTGTTTCTAAAGAATATTTATTTGTGTGTTTTTGTTTTTATGTTGTTTTGTTTTTGGTTTTAAAATTTTTTATTGTTGAAATTTATGATTTTTTTTAAAATTCTTATCATTTTTTTTGTGGGGAGGGGGGTTGCTTACTTGGGCTCTTCCTGTTTAGATAGAGTGCCGGTTGTTGTTTTGTCATTTGCCGCATGTTCTTTTGCGATCCGAAAAGATACAGGAAGGATTTTTTTCAAGTCATTTTTTACTCGTTTTATGTTCATATAAAGTTGTCCATGTACAATGTATTTATAATATTGAATTAATTTAATTTTTGATCATTTTCACGAGTTTAACATCGGCCGCTTTATCATTTTTGTCGAGCCTGCGACTTTTGTCGCAGAAAGCTCGACATAGGGATAGTGATCCGGCGGCGGCGGCGGCGTTAGCTAACTTCTTAAAAGCTTTATATTTTAGAAGGTAGAAGATCTGGATGCTTCATACTTTGTATATGGATGCCTCATGTTACGAAGTTTCCGTCAGTCACATGTCCAATGTCCTTGACCTCATTTTCATGGTTCAGTGACTACTTGAAAAAAAAGTTAACATTTTTTGTAATGTTAAATTCTCTCTTATTATAAGTAATAGGATAACTATATTTGGTACGTGCGTACCTTGCAAGGTCCTCATACCCGTCAGACAGTTTTCACTTGACCTCGACCTCATTTCATGGATCGGTGAACAAGGTTAAGTTTTGGTGGTCAAGTCCATATCTCAGATACTATAAGCAATAGGTCTAGTATATTCGGTGTATGGAAGGACTGTAAGGTGTACATGTCCAACTGGCAGGTGTCATCTGACCTTGACCTCATTTTCATGGTTCAGTGGTTATAGTTAAGTTTTTGTGTTTTGGTCTGTTTTTCCTATACTGTATGCAATAGGTCTACTATATTTGGTGTATGGAATGATTGTAAGGTGTACATGTCTAGCTGGCAGGTGTCATCTGACATTGACCTCATTTTCATGGTTCAGTGGTCAAAGTTAAGTTTTTGAGTTTTGGTCTTTTTTTCTAATACTTTATATGCAATAGTTCAACTATATTTGGTGTATGGAAATATTTTATGATCTATATGTCAGTCACGCAGGTTTTATTTGACCTTGACCTCATTTTCAAGGTTCTTTGCTCAGTGTTAAGTTTTTGTGTTTTGGTCTGTTTTTCTTAAACTATAAGCAATAGGTCAACTATATTTGTTTTATGGAAGATTTGTTAGCTGTACATGCCTGCCTAGCATGGTTCATCTGACCTTGACCTCATTTTCATGGTTCATTGGTCAATGTTTAGTTTACTTGGTTAATGTTAAGTTTATGTGACAGTTGTAATAAAGCTTTATATTTAGGACTATCAACATAATATCAATGATTAGTAAAGAAGGCGAGACATTTCAGCGTGTGCACTCTTGTTATCTTTCTGATAACTTTTGAAGAAACGTTTTTGCCTCATATTTCGGACTAAGAAGTGTTATCTTGGCAACCGAGCATTGTCTTTGTGACAGAAGCGGGTCATGGTATTACATTTCTTTTAGGGGACATTAGCTACGATTTGAACACAAATTTAAAATACGATTTTTTTTTAGTTTCAAGTATTAATAAAAGCGGAATTTTGAAATGATATTTCGTTATAAGCAGTCAGTGAGGCCTTAATTTATCAAACTAAACTCTTAAACATCGCTAATGTATTATTGACTTGCAAGTCAATAATTCAACCTAATTGAATCCGTATTAATGTAACCTTCAATTTAACCCCTTAGCTAGAGATAGGTTACGCATATAATAGGTGTGTTCAGCTATTCAAAGGAAAATAATGTCAAGATTGGAAGTGAAACAAAGATGAACCATTTGGTTGACTGATTAGATCCACAAAAAATCATTCTTATACTGGTAAAAGCGACGATTAACATATTTTTAACAATAATATGAAATCAAACGGACCTAGAAAAATTTAATTGTACGTGCTTGCTATCTATTTATATTTATATTTATATTTATGTATACATCGGGTTATATGACAGTCGGCAGTCTTCAGAGGTCAGCTCGATGGTTAATAAGATGGTTTCTAGACTAAAAACACACACGAAATGCTTATGCATATTATCGAGTCCATGCCAGAGGCGCATTTAAGGGGGGCGGGGATCCTGCCCCCTTTATGGAGCTACATTTATGGTTAATCCAGACTTTTTACCCGTTCCACTCCATACTTTGTCTAGTTTGGGACCCCCCTTTTTAAAATCCTGGATCCGCATCTGCATGATGCATTGTTAATTGTTTAATTTAGACTTTTGTAATTTGGATATACGTTTTAGTATGTTATAAATCAAATATGAGAATTTGAGTCAAATCGGTGAGAACATGAATTTGACAGCTAATGGCCCTTTGACAGTCAGGATGATTTCGTCTCGTCAAAAAGGAGCATAAAACATTTTGTATACATTGCTTTACTTCATTATTTTGAAAGGAATATCTATCTGGTTACTTGATCAATTAAACAGTAAGCAATTATAACTAATCAATCAATCAGTCAACTAAACAATATATACATTAATAAGTCAAGTCCTTTCCAACTGAGTTATACAGTTAGTTCTGATGCTGTGCAGTGAAACCGCTGTACCAGGTTCTTGGGAGGATCGAGCGCTCGCAAACATGTTTAACCCCGACACATTCTTTATATGCAATTCCCAAAACTGGAGACTGTAATTCGATGGTTGTTGTTGTTTGATGTTGCCATATTTGTTTTTTACTTTGTTTGTTTTAGCAGTTGATTTACTCGTTTGAATTGTTTCACATTTGTTCTTTTGGGCCTTTTAAAATATATTACCAAACAATATAGAATTTGCTCATTTTTGAAGGCTGTATACAGAGACCTGTAATGATAGCTGTTTCAATCCTAGTCCTTTGGGTTTGAAAGTTTTGCATTGCATGTGATTATGTTCATATAAATGAAATATATTGTAATACTTAATTAGTTTTCTAATCTTTTTAACAGGCCTACTGTTTTGGCTATATGAATTCCGCCTGTAATCCTATTATATATGCTTGGCGTAGTCCGTCCTTTCGAGAGGGGTACAAGGAGATATTGTGTCAGGAACCATCCTATGTCGTGTCTGATGGTAAGTCCCTTATAAATTGTTGATCACTTCACATTTGTGCTAAGTAGCTGTATTTTAAAACACGGGAATGCACTTAAAGCAAACTTGAGATAATTGTTTATTTGTTTCAGATGTATCACAATTTATCAATACTTTATTGTATAACCATGTTAGCTCGACTCGTTGATTTCTTTTCCTGTATTTTATTAAGAAGCCAACAAGAAACAAGTTTAAAATTGTAAAGCTCAATTTAGACAAATGTAAATACACTTGAATAGAATCTTTTGATTTCGTATACTCAATTCATATAGCTTCCAGTCGTCTGTTGCTTATACCATGTATATATTCATCTCTAAAATTTTCTTTTTATTTAGTGGCTTTAAGTGTTAACTTTTATACAATTCAAGAACACGTGCGTCGTCTACGTCGTCTGTTAACGTAAAAAATATCTCCTATGAAATTATTGGGCCAAATGGATCAAAATCTGAAAGGACGGTAGTGTTAACAAAAAAATCCAATGTTGGAGACGACCAATTAACTTTGCCATTTTTAAGTTTCTAAAACTGAACGTTAAAAATGTGAAATGCATTAGAAGGGTTTTTTTTGCCATTCTTTCAACGTTTGAAAGCCCTGACAACGATATAAAGGGGACTTTAAGTTTTCCGGTCTGTGCGTCTGTCTGTCCGTCTGTCCGTCCGTCCGTCCGTCCGTCCGTTCGTCTGTCCATCCGTTCGTCCCACAGGCATTTATCAGTTTAAATTTTCTGGTTTGAGGTGAAATACCGTGAAGTTAGTGGTCATATCCACTTGAAACTTAGTACACGTTCTCATTATTATGTGAATATATTAGAATATATGCCATATGAGGGTCATGACGAAGAAATCGCTGTTTCTGAACGCAGAAATGAGATAGTGCGAGTGGGGCATGATTTATGGACACATAATTATTTTTTTTTAGGGGGGGGGTGGGGGGGGGGGGGAGAGAGAGAAGTGAAACAGTTTCTTGCTTCATGCAAGTTTTTTGCTACTATTATTTTTTTTATAAATCTCATTTATATTCATTAGTTTGAGTTAAATTGACCTTTTTGACACCTTTTTAATTTTTGAATTATTTTCACTCTCCTTAGCAGAAAATGCAGTTAACATATCTTTTATGTGGTTTCATTTTTTAGCTGTCTGATTAGATGAGTTTTGCCATACTAGTACTAGTCTGGTAAGGCTGAGAACGTTATAATTCATTCTGTATAGACTCAAAAAAAATATAGCATTATTGCATAGTTTGCATTCAAATGTTTGAACAAATATATATAACAGGAAAAACGTACATGCTTTATAATTAATTAATTTTTAGTGGTTCATGTAGCATATGTGTACGAAGGTTCATAATCTTTGCAAGTCAGTTTTAAAGTAAAATTAAAAGGGGTATATTGTAGTGACTCAAATCATTGCAAGTTAAAGGGAAATACTGAATCGTAGTATACAGTAGGCACCATTTTATAGTTGTGTTCATAGGCTTTATTTTCTATAAACGATAAATATTTTTAACTACTGTTAACATACTTCATAAATGTATAAGGTTATCATTGTGTAAGCAGTAATTTCCCGACTAGTCCATATTTTAAGTGGATTTAAGCAAATTTTTAAGTACTTTTCAACACCTACTTTATACAATAATACATTTGATTCATTAAATGAATTATCTTGCTTGGTCATACCTCCCCTCCTCCTATTATATATTAACAAGCATAATACAAGAAATAGCCTAAAGCAAAATGTGGATGTTAATAGCCGATTTTCATATTTTGAACACCTTCTGTCATTAGAAGGGATTGCCTTAATTTACTGTTACCATTGCTGGCGTATTACTATATATCAGGTCATGACGGAAGTTTGCATGTCACACGAAAAGCAAGATAGTAAAAATATGCCAAAGAATTTTAAGAAATATAAGATATTAAAATATTATTATAGAATTATTAATGAAATGTATTTGTCAGAGCAAAAAGAGTCGTGCCCTGTCCGCTTTGACATGTTATTGCTTTAACGCCTTTTTCAGTACATTACGAGTTTGAATAATCATAATTAAGAAGACCAGGTCATTCAGTAATATTTGCACTTTCTCCTACATTCCTGTTCAAATATTTGATGTGTTTGGAAAAGTTATAGAAAATTAAATCGACTGTACAGAGAACAAATACATGCAGCATTGGAAAACTGTAATATGGTTTGCAGGCATACAAAGTGTACTTTCAATAGTCTGTGTGAAAAAATAGAAAATGATCACGTTGGAGGTTGCTTTTGTTTAGAATTACAGGCCAAATGAATCAGGTCTGAAAGAAATGAATATTCAAATATACTCTTATTTTATGCGTACGCTCCGTTTTCTTGATATATGCTCACCATATTAAGAAGTGCTTTGGAGATATTATCATTTCATTATTTCTGTAAATACTAAACTAGGATATTTATGGGATATGGTTTTGAGAAAACAATGCACATGGTCATGATTGATTACAACGACCCCTCTTCGAAATACTTGCAAGAACATTTATAATTTCTTAATTTGACAGATACGAACCATTGAGTGAGATTTCGGACAATTTTTTTTTTAAAGTGTGACAATAAAAGATGCATATGAATAGAAATTATATATTTCCTATGACCTAAAAATAAAATACAAATAAGTACATATAAGGGCAAAGATATACTTAACTTCATTGAAGGTTAGTACCCTTAGCCAAAATACAAAATTGAACTAACAATGTCTATGATTGTTAACTAACAATTCCTTTCTGTTCAGCAAATCTATCTCAAGCCCCTGTAACGAGACATTACATCAGAAGACCAGATAAGTCTCATATTAATGGAGAGTATGAGGTATTTACGTTGTATGTTCAGAGTATGTGTCATGCTCATAGTATTATTTGTTACCATTTTTGTTTGCCGGAATTGTGATAGTATTGGTTTAAGTTATGCTTAGATATGTGTGTAGTATAATTATGATTTTATTGAGTGTAAAACATGTTTTGTGACCTACCTTATGCATATTGTTGTTATTTCTTTTCTTGTCTTGAATTTTGTTAATATGTGCGGAAAGAAAGAAAAAATACGTATTTCATGTTAGATAATAATTCACTTAAAAATCATAATTAATTTTATTCAGTGACAATACCATGTGTATTCCAGATAAACAAGTACTTAATAATCAAAGATAGTAAACTTCAAGTTTGTATGAATAAACAGAGATGTGGGTATACATTAATGAGACAGCAATCGAAATACATACAAAAAGCAGCCGAAAACACACGAAGAAGTCAACTTATAGGCTTCACCATTAGAAAAAGTCTATACAGGATGTCGAGCTCTAAATCTCTCCCAAGTTTAGAAAATTGTGAATAAATTAAATAGAGACTATTACAGTTAACAACAATTCCTTAAGGAAAACAATTATTAAGATACAACTAAATATAAAGCCAACTATTGACGATGTTTCTGACTTGGGACAAGAACATGTGGCGTAGGTGGCGTAGGAAGATTTTTACCACTCTGTCTCTTAAATTTTACCGTTTAATTTTCAACTCTTAGGAGGTTTACTCTGTTTCTTTAAGGAGTAGGTTCAGGAGAGTTATAAGTAGCCCGGGGTCCCAATCTCTTAAATTTTATCTTTTTAAATTTATCACTGGGGCGGTTTACTCTTTTTCTTAAAGGAGTAGGTTCAGGAAGGATTAAAATCAGCCCGGGGCCCCAATTTCTTCACTGGGGCGGTTTACTTGTCCTCTTAAATTTTACCTTTCTAAAATGTTATCCGTTTGGGAGGTTTATTTGTCTCTTAAATTTTGCCTTTTTTATTACTGGGGAGGTTTAATTTGCCTCTTTAGTTTTATTACTGGAGAGGTTAACTCTGCCTTTTAAATTTTACTAGCCTGTCAATACTGGGGGTTGTGAGATCGACTCATATATTTATTGACTAGGGTTGCCAGTTTTTCTTTCGTATGTAGATGGCTCTTTTCGGATACTCTGGCTTTCTCCACCAATAAAATCTGACCGTCATGCTATAGCCAAGTATGCTGAAAGTGGCGTTAAATAACGAAAATCAATTAATAAAATTTGAATAGATATGTGTTCTATCTGCTCCAAGTAAATAATATATACAATAACTGGTCAGTAGTTCCAAAATAAATCAAGAATAATTTCTTTAAGATATTCATAGGAAAACAAAGATCAAGATATCATTTGGCTGTAATTAGGAAATTTCTTCTTCTAATTTGTATAACATTATTCCGTTCACGTTGATGAAGCTTCGAATGGAGAAATCGTGCTTGGAATCACGAAAATCCTTTATGGAATAGATAATGAACGCTGGTGGATTGTAATACTCCATTTCATAATCAACCCATTGCTAACCATATCGGAAATCTGACAACAATTACTATGGACTGATGAATTTTCAATCAATTTTCTGATATAATGGAAATTATATTTAGAGACATGGTTTCAACAATTAATGCAATAAATCACAACAGGAAAGGAACGATGAAATAATTAAGATAAATCCCTAACAAAGAACTATAACTATTGAATAATAACATTGATTGATTGACTGCTACTTGCTTAACGCCCAGTGGCAATTATGTCATTCATATTCAGGAACAGAAAAAATAATACAATAGGTAGGGCCCGCAAGGTATGTCAACCGGGATGAAGGGCGGGAAGTTTAATTTAAACATATCTTATTTGCCAACTATCATCAAAAGGGCGGGAAATGCGGACCGCAATTTGAAAATGAGGGTATGTTGGATAGGGCAGAAACATGCCACCTACGTACGTATACAAAAAAACTTACGACTAAGATTGTTCGTAAGTATACTGAATTGTTCATGACTTACGATAAGTCTCAGTCGTAAGTTTTTTGTGAAACCGACTCCTGGTTCTTTAACATGCAGAGAGCGCGGAACTCCGAAGCCCTACGAAGGACATCCGAATTGAACGTCCATCAGTATGACCCTGGACGTAACTCCGTGT